ACTATTACTTTTTAAGAATGTCCCTGGTGAAGAAAATTTCTCTTTTGCAAAATGAAATAGTATTATCTTGCTATGTACCACAGTACTATTTGGCAAGATAAGAGTTGGCAAAAATAAAAACTCATCTGAAAGTCCAGAAATGTAAGTGAACTTGCTTATAATTCATCAGATTTGTCAGGATCGAAGAAGAAGCACAGGAAGAAATAACTGTCACGCAAGAGAACTAAAGGCTACTGAACAGTATCATATATCTAATCCCAGAAGGTTAACTGAGAGCACAGTGCTGTAACTTGCAAAGAACAGAAATGGATGAGGTCAGACAAGGTCAATTCAGATGAATTTCCTTAAATCACTTGCTTGTTTTGCTGTTATACACTGGCATTATTTTGGCCCAAGAATCATAATTTACTTAGTTTTCATTTTTTTTAATGATTTCTTACAATCTTGTGATAAGTAACCAAGAATATCTATAGTTAGCTAATTGTTAATAAGGCAAATTTTCTTCTTTTAACCCTGGTTAGTTGGTTGAAAGATGTAAAATACAAAAATTCCCATATTACACTGATGACTAGGTTCAGTTTCCAATCATTGATTTCTACATGAAACATTTGTTGAGTGATTGTGAAATGCTAGGATATGTGCTAGATTCAGTTTATGGAAGTCAGATAAAAGGATAAAATTGTTTTTGTGATGACGCTTGTAGTGGGGGAAGACCAGCAAGAAACAAAAGAAGTAAGCAAATGTTGGATGCGAGGGCAATGTGGCTGTGACACCTGTCACCCCATTGATCGCCAGGGTTGATTTGGCTCATCTGTCTGGCTAACCGGGTGTCCCCTTCCTCCTGAATATTCCATGTGCATCCTTCCTAAACCTGTGCACTCAGTGGAAGAGTACTACCACCCCCGATAGAGGACCGCTCCTCAGTCAAGGGTATGGGAGTACCTGCACTCCCCTGCTAGAACCTCCAAACAAGCTCTCAAATGTTAGGTCACAGAGTGATACATGTTGGGGAAAAAAAGAAAGCAATAGGAAATAAAAAGTCAATTTTCTTCTGTTCTTTATTGGAAATGCATCATATTTGATCTACTATAGATCTGTAAAGTACTTTGCTTTGTGTTCTCTTTATCCCTATAACTGGATTTCTATTTTTTTAATTTCCT